TTGGAGACACAGGGGACTCCGTAAATGAGACCATACTGAAATTTAAGAGATACAGCAGTCAGGAGACTCTGTATTTCTCTACTCATTTTGGACGTGTGGTGGATGAACAGGCTTTTCAAAAGGTGTTTGGAAGTTTAAAATGATTATTTGAGTAGAAGAAAATGTGAGGTATTCTGAATAGTATTATGAAAACATAACATATTAAAAGATTCATCTATTGTCCATGAACAATATTCTAAATGAAAACACATTATACAGTGGAGAACGCTTGCTGTTATATTATATTGTTATTATTATATTGAATATTTTATATCTAAGATATTTTAGCTGACATAGATCTGAATCATCCACAGTTGATAAATTACTGGTTTATTATTATTTTTGTTTTTCTTTTTCTTTTTTTTATCTTAATTAAGGTTGAGAAGTAAGATTGCACATTAAAAAAAAATAAAAAAAATCTGGACTGTGGTAGGTTAACAGTTGTTTACTAAATGGTGACTATGTATGCAGCTGAAATAAAAAATCAAGTGAGATTGGGCTCACATTGTCCGAATAGTCATGTTGCATCATCAGACCATGATAGGATAGCTCCACAGGTCAGATTTTTACACCACATGTCCTTCTTGCTGCAAGCTCCAAAGAATTTGTCCCCTCCTGATGTTGATTTTTTTGTGTGTTAGGTTAAAGTGTAAACCTAAAAACTCTGTTATTGTGTAAAATGCATTAAAGAAAGTATTCTTCAACATTGTTTTTGACTGGGCTAGGGTTAGGGCATCCTGGCTGTAGAAACAGGGAATTATTCACACATTTTGCCTCAGGTTTGGTTCAAAGAAATGTCACTTTGGGACCAGTTTCTCTTGCTGAGTTTTTAAGAACCTGTGAGTTTTCACTTCTATCTTGGTTAAGATGTTTACTGACATCCAGAAATAGAAGTAGAGCGGGTTAACTACCAGCTGGTGATTTGATCCAGGTTTCTTGGCTCATGTCAAAGTGATTTGCAAATATGATAAATAGGGAGTCAAAGGAGCTTGCAAAAAAAA